AAATCTAATTAAAAATTAATGTTATAAATTTGAATAAATGTTGACATGAAAAACGTCAAAAGTCATTTGTCAATATTTATGAAAATAATTATATAAACAGATTTACAATTTATATTTATTTGATTAGCTTACCAAATTATTTCGGATACTAAAACTTCATCAAAACCTTATAGATCAGAGATCACAATACAAAACCGACATATTGAATTTAAAATTAATCATAAACAAAAATTTGACATTTCACAAAAAAAATGTTTAACGACTTCAGTAGGAAACAAATAAATTAATTATTCCAAGTTATGTTATAGGCAATATTGCCAAACAAATTATGGATACAAAACATTATTGTAAAATAAATACTATCATTTTCGACTAAAAGGAAAATATTTTGACATTTATAAATTTAGTGCATATTGCATATATGAAATTGACATCAACTATTTAAATTAAATGCAAAAGTAAAAAATCTGATATTTATATAAATATTTAGATAATGATATTGCGTTGATTTAGACTAATCCATGATGCGAGTGAAATAATTTTGGAAGTATGAAATGTCAAATAATTTTGAAAATTATAACAAGTTTTTAACTATTTGTCAGAAAGAATATATTTTATTACAAATTCATATCCATATCAAGCACCAAAGTAATAAATAATACTTATTAAATGACATATTATTTATAGACAATATTTGAATATTTTATATTTTTTGACATTTGCTAATTCAAAATAAATGAAAACAATGTCAAAAATCATAAATAATTTTATTTTGGTAAAATACCAAATAAATATATTTATGTTTTACTTGATTTCAAATAAAAAAACTAATTGTTATGCCAAAATAGATAGTATATTCATCTAAAATTATAGTCTAAATATTACAATTTTGATAAATAATCATCCATTATTTTACAGTACGAAAATTGATAAAAAATTAATAAAAGTGCCAAAAATCAAACATTTTATAGTTTTGGACTCGGATTTCTCAGAACTTTATCCATGTTAGTTTCAGGGATAGCATGAATATCAATTTATAGTCGAAAATTTATATGATAAGTGATTAAAACATTATAGATCACATAAAAAAAGCAACATATTGAATTTAACATTAATCATAAACAAAATCCTGACAGTTCAAAAAAATGAATTTTTAACAACTTCAATAAGACACAAATAAATTAATTATTACAATATAATAAGCGGCAAAATATTTTTTATGGCAAAACAGCGTTTGCCGGGTCAGCTAGTATATATATATATAAACTTTGTGTCACGATGTTGGTTCGCGATGGACGCCCAAACTATCTATATATACATGAACCTCGTGTCACGATGTTGGTTTGTGATGGACGCCCAAACTACTGAACCGAAATTTTATTGGCTCATCGTGTGCATATATATCCAAATTAGGTTATAGGAATTTTTGATAAGTAAATTTAATATATATATATATACAGGGTGGCTGATATGTATTGCAACCAATTTCAGACCGCTATTATTTCTAAACCGCTCATCAGACAGATGACAGATTTATTCCAGTGATTGCTCATTTAATTGTTTACAAGCGTACAAAAACATTTTGATCTATTGTATTCAGAAAAAAAAGTTATTCGTGATGGAAGTCAAGCGTGATAGTGCGATTGCTTCATATTTGGCTGGAAAACCTTAAGTGGCTATATTTAGAGCCCTCCAGTATTTAAATGCAAACAAATATTTTGTTTCTCGTACCATATCTCGTAACCGTGATACACTCAGTGTTGCCCGCGTCCATAAAGTGGACGAAAAAAACACTAACAACCCCAGGAATGATCCAAAAAGTATAGGCAAAAATCGATCGAAATTCGTGTCGCAGTGGTAAAAAAATGGCCCGTGAGCTGAACATATCGCAAAAACGAATGCAACACATATTGAAAAAGGAGCTTGGACTAAAGCCATTAAAGTCCCAAAAAGTGCAAGAGTTCATCGATGCACAAAAAAAAGTTAGACGGGAAGGAGCCAAGGGGTTGCTTCGCTTGCACGAAAGTGGCTAGTTACCGAATTTGGTTTTATCATATGGGAAGTCCTTCCAAATCGAGCAGTTTGTGAACAAACAAAATGATAGGGTTTACTTTCCAGAAAGGTCAGCTAAAACTTTACACCTTCGATTGGCCACCAGAACTCAAGCTCCGCCGACGGTAATGGTGTGAACCATCGTAACGGCCGATGGTGACATTCCGCTCATATTCATCGACCGTGGGATCAAAATAATTGCCGAAATTATCGGGAAAATGTCTTAAAGGCAGTATTGAAGTCCTGGGTAGACAAAAATTTTGGCCGCAGACCATGGACAATCCAACAGGACTCAGCACCATCAAACTCAGCACGCGTCTACCGAAAATTGCTTAAAAAAGAGGTTTTTCGCTTCATTTCCATCGCACAATAGCCACTAAAATCTAAATACGCTGGACTTTTGTGCCTTGGACATTTTGAAGAGTAAGGTTCGTACTAAAAAATACCAAAGTGTCGATCATCCCAAAAAGGCGCCTCGCCGGGAATGGGCCAAAATACCCCAGAGCCACTTTCGTGCAGCGTGTTATGGTTTTTCTGCCGTTTGAAGGCCATAATTCGTGCCAAAGATGGCCAATTAGAACAAATATAAACTGATTCTAAAATTTGATGTTATTTCTGACATTTTTGCTTTTGAACAATGAAATTTAGAATGAAAATGACAAAGTTATAGCGCTTTACTTTGTTGCAATACATATCAGCCACCCTGTATATATATATATATATAATTTCCATAAATTTAGACAGAAATTTACTAAAAAAAACAAAACACTATAATGGCAAATGTCAATATTTATGGAAACTTCGAGAAAAAACGATTAATGATTTTTGAAAAAAAAATTGACAGTTCGAAAAATATGTTATTGTTACTAATTAAAATGGAACATATTTATTATAATATGTTCCTATATAATCAACAATTATATCCAAATTAGGCAAAATGCTATATTCAAAATAACAGAAATATATGTTTGTAGATTAAAATAAATTTTGACAGTTGTAAACTAAAAAAAGTGAAATGTCATATGTCAATATCTATGGAAAGTATTAGATGAATAAATTTATAATTTATATTTATTTGGTTTGCTTTACCATATTAGTTCGGATACTAAAACGTCTTCAAAACATAATAGATCAGAACGAAAAAGCGACGTATCAAATTTAACTTTAATCATAAACAAAAATTGACAGGTCAAAAGATATATATATATATATATATATATATATATATATATATATATATATATATATATATATATATATATATGATAAGGTTTTTCAGCCACAAGTCGAAAAAATAAAAACAGAACGTAAATATAAATCTTTTTTAATACGTTTCGAGCTATTCTGCTAGCTCATCATTCAGCTAAAATACAAAGTATATATATATATATATATATATATATATATATATATATATATATATGGCGGGCTGTCAACACGCACCGCGTTTGCTGTAGCGGCTCGTCAACACGCATCACATTTCTACTGGACAGATAGGCTCATATAGTGACAGCACGGAGGAAACAAAATTAATTCAAGTGTCAGATCTGACCTGGCTTTTGTTTATCCCTAGTCTCATTGCCTAAATTAAAAATTTTTGAAACCTTTTCCTTTGTAAATAAGTAAATACCAACTATATTTTATAAATGATCAATATGATTACACATAGTGTTGTCAATACTAATCATACATAAAATAAACCAAGTATAAAACATAATATTTCATAAAATTTATTATGACTACAATTTGGATAATTATGGTATTAATTACGGAGCACCACAACATCTCCATATTTTGGTGACCCCGAGAGTGAACTAGTAACACACATAAAAGAAGGTAAGAAGATCAAGACATATTTTGAAGTAACAAAAAAAAATTGAAGTCTCATGAAAAAAAGAATTTTTAAAAATATAAATAATTATTATAAATGGCTCACAACTGCCATAACTCGAAGAGCATTCTAAGCATACAATTGAGACTCCGACCACGCACTTCAAGATCAACAACAACACGTGCTCAATAAATCACTTATTATCCTGGTAAATAAGTCGATAACAAGCACCAAGGCAGCAGACAGGGATCATCAGCAAACAATTTGGCAACCGCCATATACACTCAACCGCTAACTCACCAGCGAAGGGCCACATACACTCAACCGCTAACTCACCAGCGAAGGGCCACATACACTCAACCGCTAACTCACCAGCGAAGGTATACTCAGCCACTAACTCGCCAGCCAAGGGCCACATCTACTCGACCGCTAACTCGCCAGCGAAGGGCCACGTAAGCAATCAACCAACTCACCAAGCTAACACGGCAGTCAAAACGGCCACGGCCGCAAACAAATAAAATTAATCACACAATCTCAACCAAAAAAATTTACAAGGAAGTTCAAGATGGCGGTCAGAGATGCGAAACAATCTTTTTCATTGGGGCGTAGTGATGTAGCGGGCTGTCAACACGCACAGCGTTTGCTGTAGCGGCTCGTCAACACCCATCACATTTCTACTGGACAGATAGGCTCATATAGTGACAGCACGGACGAAACAAAATTAATTCAAGTGTCAGATCTGACCTGGCTTTTGTTTATCCCTAGTCTCATTGCCTAAATTAAAAATTCTTGAAACCTTGTCCTTTGTAAATAAGTAAATACCAACTATATTTTATAAATGATCAATATGATTACACATCGTGTTGTCAATACTAATCATACATAAAATAAACCAAGTATAAAACATAATATTTCATGAAATTTATTATGTCTACAATTCTGGTATTTAATATGGACCACGCCATATATATATATATATATATATATATATATATATATATATATATATATATATATACTCCACACACGCCAACACACAATGTTTGTGGACCACTAATTAGTATGAGTATTAATCGGTTATATTCATTACTCTATTTTAATACTCTCAATATTACAGGTGAAGTATATGTGTTAGATGATGGAGGCGAAGTGGATTTGGACTTAGGAAATTATGAAAGATTTTTGGATGTGACTCTGCACAGTGAAAATAACATAACCACTGGAAAAATATATTTGGATGTAATACGAAAAGAACGAGTTGGAAACTATTTGGGAAAAACTGTTCAAGGTATATTGTTGTCGTGTTTATTTGTTTATGTTTTCTGATTATTTCACACGGTGTAAATCCATTTATGCATTCTTAATATTTCATTTTCATTCATTATAATTCCTTAAAAATGTTATAATTATACACTTTTATAATTTCATGGTTACTCTCTCTATCTCTCTCTCTCTCCTATATATATATATATATATATATATATATATATATATATATATATACAGTGGCGGCTCTGGACCATTCTGCGATGTCGGCGAAATTCGTTTGCGAGGCCCCCCTTTTTTAAGGCCAATTACTAAAACTTTCCGTGCCGTAATTTAAATGTTAACTAGTGGGGCGCATGGCATCGTGCCTTAAGGCAAATTGCTGGAACTTCCCGTACTTGTATTATTATTTTTTTTAAAAACGATTAACATTTTTTTAAAAAAATTACTTCGAAAAAATTAGATTTTTGAGAAACTATAAATTTGACAAAAATTACTTTTTTTTGAAAAAAAAATTTTTTCTTTATCAAAATAAAAAACCTATTTGGAAATTCTGAACTTTTTTTCAAAGCAAACCTACTGCTTTAACAGCATAGAGACGAAATGTCAAAGCGCGTAAGCGCCGCGTCTAACGGATAAACATTGATACGGAACCCATAGGAATGTAAACAAAATTTATACTTATTGTTGAAATCTCTATAAAATATCTGATAATTTGATGTGCATATGTCTAATGATCATTTTAGACCGCCAAATGGCACTTTTTTTTTACTTTTTTTTTATTAGATCTCCTAAACCGCTAAACCTGTCTTCAAGAAAATGTTATCAATTCTTCGATTTGTCAATACAAGTAAAATGTTTTTTGAATTATTAAAATCGGACGCTCAGTTCTCTTAAAAACTGAGTTACCATTTTTGGCACTTTTTGCCCCGTATCTTTGGAACGTCTAGACCTGCCTTCGCCAAAAACTAATCAGCACGTCTCCTTATCAATACGAATCGAATGTTTTTTGAATTATTCCAATCGGTTGATCGGTGCTTCCGAAATCGTCGACGAAAATTTAAATTAACCGTAATTAAAAATTCGAGTAATTATCAGAATTATGCTTGGTTAAGTCAACGAGCAATTCTTGCCGCAAAGAATAATGATGTACACGCACTGAATTACTTGCTGGCGATTTGGTGACATACCAATGATTTCGACTGGTTTTCCGTTTGACTTCAAACGATTGCAATTTCCAGTTCGCCTTGCGTTCGTAATAACAAGTCGCAAGGCCAATCGCTTAGTGTTTGCGGGAAAATTTCAAATAGATTATTTAGAAAATCATTGTTTTTCACATGGGCAGTTATACGTTGCCTGTTCACGAGTTGGAAAGCCATCCGCTTCGTTTGTGTTAACGTCAGACCTAAAAACAAAAAATGTGGTTTACCAAAGAGCACTTCAATGAAACTAAAAACTTCATTTTTGTAATCGAAGTAAATTCATTACTGTTGTATAATAAAATCAAATTTTTCCTTTTCAAGTATAAAACAAACAAAAAACTTCTTCATCTTTCTCACGAAACCATCTGGTCGCGAAACGGAGTTCGTCGGCTTTGCTAGTATTATGTATAATAGTTATTATAGAATAAAATGTACAGATATATACACAAAATTAAGAAAAACATGAAAATACATAAAGTTATATAAGGTTTTTCTTATTTATCATTGTCATCTTTATGGTCGATTTCGTTTTTATTTTTCAATAATCTCTTCCTTTGTCTCAATCACGTGAATAATAATTTATTATTTTTCAAGAACTGAATTGCACTTAAGGGATCGTTCAAGTATTATGTGAGCAGATTTATTACAAATATTTACCCTCCCCTATCCCCCTTGTCAGCAAAAGTAAGCAAAGCTCTTACCCCCTACCCCCATGCTTACGTAAACATTTTGCAATTAATGTAAAAACATAAAAATTCTACCTATGACGTAATTATCATCCAGACTCCCCTGCCCCCCATGTCAACCCAAAATAAGCAAATCAACAATCTCCCCGCCCCCCCTATAGTGCTTACGTAATACTTGAACGGCCCCTAAGTTCTAATCAGAGTTATTAATCTCGTTTTTTTTTTTAATCCCGTAGGTATCTATTTCATCTGTAATAAAATGTATAACCACAAATAAATATAATAATACAAATGAGATTTTTCAGAGCACCGTGTTTGAGAAAAATATGCCAAAATGTGCATTTTCATATTAACATTTCAAAAAAGTTGATATTTAGTGTTTCTAGTAACACTTGCGGCCCGTTTACTAACGTTTTTGTATATAAATAAAACTACAAACAAAACTACTTGCTACAATTTAATCATAATTATACTAGTGGAGTGGGTGGCATCGTGCCTCAAGGCAAATTGCTGGAACTTTCCGTACCGTAAATTTTTCAAATAGATTATTATAAATATTGTAACATTGTCTAATATTTATAAGAAGTATATAAACTGAATTGCAATTTTAAAATTATTTGTTTAAGCTATATTAGAACTTTAGTCAGGATAAAAATAAAATCTGAATTATTTTCGACATACAAGAAAAACTAAAAAAAAAAAAAAAAAATCAATTATTTTGTTAAGGGGTTAGGAGTACTTGGAGGTACGAAAAAATGAGAATCTTCAGTATTGTTTTTTTGTTATTAAACGATGTTTTTTTACAAAAATATTAATACTGCATCATTATACAATGTTTTGACTTGAAGTAACAAAAATTTCAGAAAAAAAAATTATTGTTATTGTTTCAAAAAACGGTCCTGGCGGTGACCATCATAACTCCTTAAAGATCCATCTAAAATCAATCAAATAAAAAAAAATAGTTTTATGAATAGATAATGCTGGGCCTGATCGAAGGTTTTCTTTTTTTTGCAAAAAATAACAAAATGCCAGCATCAGAAATAAAAATTCCAGATTTTTGGGCAAAAAATCAACAGTTTATTGGTCTTAAAAAATTGAAATTTTTGAAAAAATAAAAATCCTTCGATCAGGCCCGAGTTTATTATGTATTCTAATTCTGTATAAATTTCATTAAAATTTACTAAACGGTTTTTGAGTTACAGTGATCACCGGTTCAAAAAACATAGTTTTGAGAAAAACGCGTTTAAAGTTTCACATTGGATTTACGTACAGAAATTCGAATTATTGAATTACTTAAACCGAGTCATCTATTTCTGCGGCATATAATAGTTTATCAGTCATTGTGCAAGTTTCCAAAATTCCTATTTGCTGTTGCCTACGAAGCATTCTGTTCTCCCGAGTGTTTTCGTTGGCGCGCTGATCTGCCACTTTCACACGTGTAGCATCCAATTTTGTCAGCATACCAATGGGAATTATACCCACAATTAGGTTCTAGGGTATCCATAATCAATAATAATGATTATGTTTATGTATTCAGCAATTTGTACGATAGTAGAACTAGTATTCACGGTTTTTAGGCATATTTTTTACACTAGTTGGTTGAAGCTTTTAATTTTTTCTGATTATGGATTCAATCTTGAACTACACATCTTGAAAGTAAATTATCATTGCTGAGATCGTCGTAAATCGGTTTAAAAGCTTTTAAAACATCAGGAGGTGAGGGAGAATAATCTTGAGTATAAGTATCGAGCTCTCCACTTGCGTCAACGCGGCGCTGGTAAGAGTCCAATAACTCAAAAAGTAATCATCGGATCAACTTGAAATTTTTACAGAACATTTTCAAGAAGATATTACACTTAATGAAAATGCAAAAAAATAAAAATCGATTTTTCAAAAATTCCAAGTACCCCTAACCCCTTAAGACAAGCAGAAAGTTCTTTGAATCATTTAAATCGGACGCTTAGTTCTCTCAAAAACTGCCATTTTTTATATATTCAGCTCCGTATCATCGAAATGGCTGGGCCTGCCTTTGCCAAAAACTAACTAAAAACTATAGACGCTTCTCCCAATCATTACTAATTCAATGTTTTTTAGATCATTCAAATCGGATACTCCGTTCTCTCAAGAAGTCAATTTCTATTTTCTGCACTCTTTGCTCCGTATCTCCGAAACGGCTGGACCTGCCTTCGCCAAAAACTATCAGCTCTTTTCCCTATCAATAGGAATCGAATGTTTTTTTAACCATTCAAATCGGTTGATCCGTGCGCCCGAAAACGTGACTGGAAATTTGTATCCATACATACATACACACACACACACATCCATTTTTTCTGAGGTATGCCAAAACGTTCAGAAACCTTCAAAACGTCGAGAAATGTAAAAATTGTCGATTTTCGGCCCATTACAATAATTTACCCTACGGAAAGTTAATAATATTCACGTAAAACATCCTATTAAACATAATCGAACATCATCTGTCAAAAACGTTTGACATTTCACGTATTAGCCGCCGCCCATTGTTTTATTTACATTACGCTTCAACAAAAATTTTCAAATTAAAATTGTGAAGTTTCTACGCGAATTTGAAATAATTTCTCACCTTTTGGACTTTTTGTGGATTGGCACGAATTTTTCAAGACTAAGACTGGCCAAATCGGTTTACCCGTTTTTGAGTTTTACTTGGACATTTGAAAGAGAGCTCCATTTTTATATATAGGAATACATATATATATATATATATATATATATATATATATATATATATATATATATATATATACTAGATGACCCGACAGACGTTGTCCTGTACCCACCTCTACGTTTTATTAATATCCTATACTAATATTTATACCGTTCAGTTAAAAAAAATCACTATTGTTTTTCGAGTTACTATTTACACCAATATATGAGTGATGTTAAATGTAGTACTGTTTCAAATAAAATGATTATTCTCAATTCCCACAGTTAACACTTTAATTATCCCTTTAACAAATATTAAAATATTTTCAATAAAATTATATATTAAAAATTATACACTGCGATTTTTATAGAACAAATTTATTTCCAATAGCTCAATTTATTTTATTGAATTTAAGGGTTATACAATATTTTTAGACATAGTACCTGTAGATGTG